TTTAGTTTCTTACAAAAAATTATCTTCTTAAAAAAAAATAATTTTATTGTTTGAAATTCAACATTATCTGACTGCTGAAATAAATTTATAATGGGCAAACCCAAGATATTACAGAGCAAAAAAGTGATAAATAGTTAATTTTCCCTGAAAATCCTTATCTAAGAGATTGAATGTCTCATTTTTTTTGTTTCATATTTTCACATTCTATTTATTTTATAATTCATTCATTAGTAAATATTGAATTCTATTGATTATAATACTCTTTCTTTAAAGTTATGATAATTTATTGATTAACAAAAATAAATAAATAATATATAAATTTTAATTATCAATGTAGATTGTTTTTTTAATTTTTCAAATTTTATTAAAAAGTTCATCTTATTTCAACATTCTAAATCTCCGTTTTCTAGCTTTTAAAGTTTATTTCTTTTTTGAAAATTTTAATTTATAATTACAATTACATAAATTGCAATTTTTTTTAATTTAAATTGTATTTGTAGAAAATTTTTTTTCTTTTTCTATTAATTATTTTTGATAATTTTTTATTCAAATTATGTCCATTTCTGTGATTTACATCCTCATTTCCTTGTTTCAGAATTCAAATTCATAATGGATAAATGATGAGAGTTTCTTAGAAGAGGATAAGACATTTATTTAATAGACTGGATAATGGGCTTTTACTTCTTCTGGATATTTTATATTACCATCAACCGAAACTACTGCAAATTTTATCACTTGTACTACTCCTGCTACAAGTTACATTACTCTAACTAATAGTTATCCATCTGCTGAAAGTTAATCGTCTTACTCATTCAATAAATGTTGGATATCTATGGATTTATATTTTCAAGGTACATGGTCATCAGAAACTGTTTAATATAAATAAGGATCATTTACATATTCGTATTCCTACACTTCCCCTACAACTTATTCAATTTAAACTGGATTTTGTGATGCTCTTCCTTATGAAGTTAGAACTGTGAATTTTACAATAATATTAACAACAATTCCAACTTATGGTAAAATTTTATTTACATCTACTAATACAAATACAGGATTGGTTTCAATTAAAAACATCTATGTATCTAAAATAAAATGCTACCCATCATGCAGTGTATGCACAGATCCTGAAAAAAATTAATGTACAAGTTGCTATTATGGTCTCCCAACTAATAATATTTGTCCACCTTGTCCATCTAATTAATACTATTGGAAGTATTAAGGATGTAAAGATATTTGTGATATCGACTCTCCATTATATTCCAATGGATTTTGTTAATATTATCCAAGTAATTATTCTTAATTTAGATAATCTAGTAAATAAAATAGATTATGTTTACTTTACGATGCCAATAACTTATTCTAAAAATTTGAAATGGTCATTAATATATGATTAATAAAATGTAGATACATCTCCAACAATTATTCAGGTTGATACATAAGTGGGTGAAAATACATATATATAGACTTATATATAAGGAGTATTTAAATTTAATTCTGGAATCTACAGATGCTTCAAAGAATTATCTACTTATTCTTACAAATATTATTTAATTGGATTGAAAATTTCAATTGTTGCTTTAAATGATTTTCCAATTAATTGTGGAATATAGTTTAAGATTAATAATACTTATTTTGGATCTATTTATAGGAATGCCTCTGGAATACAAACTCATAAATTAATAATATCTTAAACTTTTAACTCCAAATCATATTCAACATATTCTAATAATAAAAGATATGATTTAATTACATATGTTGACATTCCGAAATATTAATTTGTATTTTCAGCAATAGGGAATTATACGTAAATATTAATTAATCATGATTAGTGATGGCACAGCAGGATGGGGAATGACTGAAATCAAAATTACTTCAGGATATTGTCCTTAATATTGTACATTATGTGAAGTAGCATTCAAATGTAAGACTTGTTATAGTGGATACTATTATTATAGAGATGGTAGATGTATAAGTGGTTGCTCATATCCATATTAGAAATTTAGTGGTTCTTATTGTTATGATTACGATGATGAAACACCTTGTATCTTATCATATTATATTTAGATTCTTAATATTTAATTTAAGAACATATAAATGAAGCAGGTGATCCTGAATAATATACAAAATATACTTTAATTTCTCAAAATGGAAAAAACTTTTTAAAAGCATCAGATATCTATTTTTCATATTAATAAGGAATTAGAATTTTTGGAGGACCATTTGTTTGGGCTTAAGCCAAATTTTAGAGAATTCATAATATAATAACACCACATCATGGTGTCACTATTGCATTTTATATACTTTATGGACCAACATTCCCTTCAGATGGATAATTTATATATTCGATTGAAAATAATACACCAGTTATTAAATCAACTGCTAGTTATGGTTCATCTAATTCTGATGGGACAAAATAAGATAGAGTATATGAAAAAATTATTCATAATACAAATACATTAACAATCACTTGGGAGTGCTTTGGTCCAAATAATGAACCAGTTAAGGCTTATTGTGGATTCTATAATTATTATATTGCTGTTCATAATTGCAAACCATATTGTTTATCATGTACAGATTAAAATACTTGTACTTCATGGAACAGCACTTATGATGCCAATATTGTTAAATTTTCTTAGGCAGAATGTTTGATTAATTAATATCATGATAAAGAATCTGTCAGATGTTTAGATTGTCCATTATCTTGTTTATCATGTACATCAAAAATAAACTGTTAATCATGCTCATCTACTTATACTTTAACTAAATTAGGATGTATTTGTACAATCAATCAATATGAAGATTCAAATCAATGTTTTAATTGTCCTATAGAATGTAATTAATGTTTAAGTTTTACTTATTGTATAGAGTGTTTAATAATTAATAATAGATAATTGTTAAATGGGTAATGCAATTGTATTGATGGTTATTATCCAATTGCATTAAATCCTTAATGCTAGTTATGTCATTAATTTTGTAAAACTTGTAACGGACCTACTTCTGATGAATGTTTAACTTGCAATAATATTGTAAATATTGAACAAGTAGGGTCAACCTGTAGATGTCCAACAGGATCTTATTTGTAAGATGCAATAAAAACCTGTTCTGTTTGCCATTCATCATGCTTAACATGCTTTAGAACTACAATTGATGGTTGTTTAACATGCGATCCTGCTTTAAATAGAATATTGAAAGGGTTAAAATGTACTTGTGCACCTGGCTATTATGAATTAAATAATATTTGTACAAGTACACATTATAAGTATTATTATAGGTTGTCCAAACACAGAAGATGTATCTCTAAGTCAGTGCTATAAATAATGTAATAATAATTAATTAATATGGCATACTATTACTTGTAATTCTTGTGATTCTGGATTTTAATTAGTTTCTGGAGAATGTCAACCTATTTGTGGAAATACATTAATCTAAGGATATGAATAATGTGAAGATAATAATAATTTACTTGATGATTTATGTTATAATTGTTAGTTTTAATGTCCTATTCATTGTTTAACTTGTGATTAATCAACTACTTTATCTTGTCCTGATGTTTGTGGAGATGGAATCATTACAGGAGTTGAAGAATGTGAAGATGGAAATACTATTTAATATGATGGATGTTTTAATTGTAAATATTAATGTTAACCTTCATGTACAAAGTGTATAAAAGGACTATGCTTTGAATGTACAACCTTAGGTTGGTATATTGATCCAACAGTTACTCCTTGGTAATGTAAGGAAAGATGTGGAGATTAAGAAATAGTTGGAAGTGAATAATGTGATGATGGTAATACTAGTGATCTAGACGGCTGCAAGGATTGTAAATACTTTTGTAGAATTGGTTGCACTTCTTGTGATTATACTACCAATAAATGCTTAAGTTGTGAATTTCCTGGTTTTGTTCCTATATCTTACTATTGTAAAAATGTATGTGGAGATGGTTTAGTTGTTACAGATCCTTATGGCTTCTTTGCAGAGCAATGTGATGATGGTAATACTATTAATGGTGATGGTTGCAATAGCTAATGTTAATTCTAATGTTAATCTTCATCTATTTGCACTAGTTGTATAAGTAATAGATGTGAAATATGTGAGACTGGATATTATCTCTCTAATGATAAAGTATGTTTACCTATATGTGGAGATTCGAACTTAGTAGTAAATGAATAATGTGAGAATTCGTTTATATTACCTTATAAAGGTTGTATAAATTGTTAAGCAAAATGTTAAAGTTCTTGTCTCACTTGTAGTACTTCAGGGCTTGGTTGTTTGTCATGTAAAGATGGGTACAATCGAATTGATAATTTATGTCATTCAATTTGTGGAGATTAAATAATTACAGAAAATGAGTAATGTGATGACGGTAATTTAAAAATTGGAGATGGATGTCATTTCTGTTAGTTTAGTTGTTAAGATTCATGTCTTAATTGTATTAAAGGAGTTTGTTATGATTGTTTAGAAGGTTATCAATTAATATCATTTAAATGTTATCCTATTTGTAATGAATAATGTGAAATGATAAATAAATTGTAAATATATTAGAGATGTAAATCTTGTTAATTTCCTTGTGATTTGAATTGTTACTTTTGTTAATTTGGCATCTGTTAACAATGTAATGAGGGATATGAATTATCCTAAAATTAATAGTATTGTATTAAATCTCTATATTATAATTCTATGATAATTGAAAACTGTTAATTCTAGATTGGGAACAGTTGTATTTAATGTGAAATTTATGCCTAATTAGATAACATAGAATAAAAATGCAATTTAAAAGAAACCCCAATGAGTTTTTGTTAATATTAACTTAAATTATCGTCAAATGTATATTGCAGTTATTGTTTTGATTATTGTGAAACTTGTAATTAATATAATTGTATAAGTTGTTTAAGTGGTTATTATTTAGATGATAACTTTTCTTGTATTTCTTTTTGTGGAGATGGAATACTTGCCCATGATGAACAATGCGAAATGGATGATTAAAATTGTTTAAGTTGTATGTTTGATGTTCCAAAATTTTGTGAATTATATTTTCAAGATAATTGTTAAAGATGTGAAAATGGATATTATGTAAATTAATATACAAATATTTGTGAATCTAAGTGTGGAGATGGTATTATAGCTCATGATGAAGATTGCGAATATAACAATTATATAGAATTTGATGGTTGCTATAATTGTAAATATACTTGTAGTTAATAATGTTTAAACTGCATAAATGGTGTATGTTAATAATGCAACAAAAGTTCCTTGCTTTTCGATGGATTATGTTATGCTGAGGAAAATGAAATTGATTTGTTTCATGAATGTGAATTAACCCTCAATGATGAATGCTTAATATGCTAGAAAGATTATAAATTGAATCAATATGGTATTTGTATTTCTGAAAGTTTGGAAAGTTGCATTCAATATCATAATGGCTATTGTTTATACTGTGCATAAGGATATGAACTTTATGAGAATATATGCAATTAAACCTATTAGTGTTAAAAGGGTTTGTATTATAATTAAGAACTATAAATTTGTGAATCTTCATGTGGTGATGGACTTATTACTGGATGGGAAGAATGTGATGATTAAAATATGCAATAATATGATGGTTGTTATGAGTGCAAATTTGAGTGTGATAATAATTGCATTTAATGTCTTTATGGTGAATGTTATTAATGTTCTTAAGAATTTAATTTAATTCAGAATAAATGCTTGTCTAAATGTTAAGAGCCCTGTCTTAATTGTATTTAAGGAGTTTGTTATTTATGCAGCAGTGGGTATTTTTTAAATGAATATTTTGATTGTATCAAAATTACCTGTGAGGATGATTTCAGTTGTACTTCTGAATGTGGAAATGGAATAATTGAGGATCTAGAATAATGTGATGATTAGAATCTAATTAATGATGACAGTTGTAATAATTAATGTGAACAAACTTGTGATATTAATTGTATAGAATGTATTGATAGTGTTTGTTGCTAGTGTAAAGAAGGATGGAGATTAGGTTTATTTTTTTGTGAACCAATTTGTGGAGATTAAATTATTGTTGGAAATGAAGAATGCGATGATGGCAATTAATATGATGTAGATACATGTTTAAATTGTAAATATTAATGTCCTCAGCATTGTAATTAATGTGCTTTTGGAGTTTGTACTCATTGTGTTGTAGGATTCTATTTGGATATTGTCAGTAATTCATGTAATTCAGTTTGTGGTGATAAAATATTAGCAAGTGATGAAGTTTGTGATGATGGTAATGAATTGAGATATGATGGTTGTTTTTAATGTTAGCATTAATGTTAAGTGGAATGTTTAAATTGTTAATTTGGATAGTGTATGGAATGTGAAACTCCTTTTATTGTAGTATAATTAAAAGGTATTTGTGAAACATTAAAATCATGCTAAGATTAAATTGGATTTTATAATGATAATTTTAATAATGATTGTTAGTCATAATGTGGAGATGGTATTGTTGTAGACACTGAATAATGTGACGATTAGAATGATACTCCTTATGATGGATGTTATGAATGTAAATTTTAATGTTAAATTGGTTTTTTCCTTAATTAAAGTACTTGTATTCCTATTTGTGGAGATGGAATTATTATTGATGAGTATGAGAATTGTGATGATTAAAATGATTAACCATATGATGGATGTTTTGAGTGCTAATTTTAATGTATTTAGAATTGTCAAATTTGTTAAAAAGGAATATGTATATAATGTGATATAAATTATTCCTTCCAGAATAATTAATGTTTGTTAAACAACCAAAATGATGATCTCAATTCTAGCTTTTTTGGACAATCATATATGAATGATACAATAATAAATGACTATAATTTACAATGGTTATTATTAAATGAAGATAAGATATGCAGAGATTCTGAATGTGTTTACTCTAAAAAACCTAGCATGAAACTCACTTATAAAAATTAGTAGTTTGCCTTATAGTATGTTGATATTACATTTGATTAAAAAGTAAAATTTAGCGATAAAGTAATCAACAACCTAATGCTATTCAATATAAGTATTGTTGACTTGGATTCTTAAAATTATAACATAACAATCAATCCAATTTAAGATATATCATTTGAGCTTTAATATGCTTAGTATTAAGTCGTTATTGAAATATTTACATAGCTTTCAACAGATCCAATTCTTTTAGTTGAGATGAATTAAGAAATTGTTAACTAAAATAATCAAACACTTTTTAATCTTATTAAGTCAATTACTCTCTAAAAACCAAAAATAATATCTGAATAATTTAGATAAATATCCATAAATGCTTAGAAATCTAATAAAGCATTTATGATAGGAGCAATTTCTTTATGTGTAATATCTTTAGTCTCTGGAGAAAATTCAATGATTGTAGAAACTCTGAATCTTTTGTAATATCAATAATACTTAAGATTTATTAATTTAGACTATCCTGAAAACATCTAAATATATTTTTAAGCTTATGATATGTTATCTATAACATCGTATTTACAAATTGTTCAAATAGATGATTATTTAAATATTATAACAGCGAAGAATAAATAAATTGACTCAAGCGGAAAATTTAAATAATATGACATAGAAGCTGATCTTTTTACTAATATTCTACCACAATTAATTTAGTTTTTAGGATTTGTAATGCTATCTTTTTTTGCAAAAAAACTTTATACTATATTTTTGAAATTAAGTAACTATATGATAAAAATTGAAAATGAAAAAATGAAAAAATCAAGAATATTAATTCCAATAATTTAAAAAGCACTCGGTCTTAGAAGATGTTTGAAATCATTATTGAAAATAAAATATGGATAGGTTTATGATTAAATACTAACAATTATTTACATTAATTCTTGGGATTTGATATTTAAAGTGATATTGTAACTTTATTATGATTAAATAGACAATTTGAGGAGTATTTTAACCTCTGTTTTTGCAACTTTAATACTTTTCATATGCATTTGCTTTTAATTAAAATCATTAAGTGTATTCTCTGGTGGAAAGAAAAACAATCTTCAATCAAAGCTCGAAATAAAATTTATTACTTTAGATATTTTCCGAACACTGTTTTTTCATACTGTATTAATACTATTTTAAGATGATTATATTTTGTAAAGCTTATTAATATAAGTTAGCAGTTTAAGTCAATGTTTCATAATCTACAAATATAAGTAATGTTCTAAATGGGATAGAATTATATTCTTATCAGTTGAAGGAATTTTAACAGTATTTAATTTCAGCTTATTTTTATATTTTGATATTAGTCAGATTTATTTGTCTTATGAAAATAAAGTTACTTTAGGGTTTTATCAGATGATAATTTTGATTCTGAGTCTTGCAATAGTCATAACAAAGCAATTATACCCTAAAATATTAAATATTTGGAAATTAACATGTAAAAAAAAGAATTAGAAATTTGCAAGTAGATAATTATTTTATTTTTGAATAACATTACATATTCATTTTATATAAATTTAATATCATCATAAAATAATAACAAGATTAGAGTATAATAATAAATAATATCTAATTATCATTATGGCTTTTAACGATAATAATCTATAATTTGTTAAACTTTTGATTTATCTTCTAATTTTTTTCCCTCTTCTTTTGTTCTTAGAGATTCAATTTCTGCAAACAATAACACTATCAAACACATTAAATCATTTTTTTTATAATTATTATTAATACATTGTTAAATTTGAATATTATTTCCTTTTTCTTAGCTCAAAAATTTAGTTTTATCTTCCATTTTAAAATTATCTCTTTAATTTAACAAACCTTTGGAAGAATTATGATACCTTGAAACTTCCAAAGACAATAATGCAATTTTATTTTTATAATCTTCAATCTAGCAGTTATTTTTCAAAATTAAATTTTCCTTAAGAATAGCATTTTATTCCTTTTATAAAATTTAAAGTTGTTGATAAATGATCATTTTCAATTTTCTATGGGAAGCGAGTTTCAGAAGATATGACAGATTTTGAAAGCTAATTTGATTGAGATTAACATAAAGAGTTTTTTTTGCTTACCTAATAGATTTAATTTTTATGTATTTATTTAATTTCCTCATAATTATTAATGATACTTATAATTCCTATTTTAATATCAATATTTGTTGTTCTTTTTCATCAATTATTTTACTTAATTTACTATTTAGTTAAGTTATCTCATTCATTTTGTTATTATTTATTGATTCTACTTCACATCTTTATTCAGTGCTTTAAAAAGCGCTTTCTATTTATTTGATTTACTTATCCTGAATTGCGATTTATTATTTTAGTTAGCATATCTTAGCATTTTGATTCATAATTTTCAAATTAAATTTATCAATCAACTAAGACTTTTTCTCTAATTGGGAGCTTTTTTCATATATTTCTTAATTTAATTACTAAATTTTTACCAACAATTCATTATTATAAATTTAAATTTCTTCCAATAATTGAGGATTTATTTATTCAATCTTAAATTGTTTTTCCTTTTATAGATTTATTATTTATATTTTTTGATCACTATTTTCTTTGGTTTTATTCTCATTTACCTCTTCTAAAACATTTAATTAAGTTTATATTTTTCTTATTTAATCACTTTATTTGTGTAATTCTTATTATAATTATTTAATGAACAATTCTTTTTCATCTGATATTTGTTTATAATCATTTCTTTTTTTTTCATAATTTAAACAATTATTTTCATATTGTTAAATTTTTTTATTTTTTCTTGAATAGTTAAATTTAATGTTTCTATCATTTCTTATAGTTAAATTAATTCTCGAATTTTTTATTAAACTTCATCTTTAAGTGAAACTGATTTTTTGCACTTTTCATTTTTCAATTGAAATTAATCATTCTCAATCTACATAGTTAAATTTGTGATTTATATCTAGTATTTACTTATCTCGAATTTCATTAGAACCATTTACTCAATCAGTTCTTGATTTAATAACTCCAATTTATAGTACTTGCATATTAGATTTACAAAATGGAGTATTTAAAAAGAAGAATTTAAATATTTAGAAATTCAGTTAATAAAGTAAATTTTTTTTTAACTGATTATTAAGCTTTTCAATTACTTTGTAAACCAATTAAATTTATTTATTCCTTTTTAAAAATGATATTAAAATTTGTTTGCCAAATTAATTTTAAAATTCATATCTTACTTATGACAATAATTTTAGAGCAAGAATGACATATATCTCTTATTAATATTATTAGTTCTCCGATTTTACTTTGTCTAAAACTTATGATTTCATATAATCTGATGATCTAGAACTTTCTTGATTTATTTTTTAAGAAGAGTTAAACTTAAATTGTAATTAACGAATATATTATTCTAATTCTTAATTTTGCTAAGTATGTTTTTCATTAGATTCTTATATCTTTTTATTAAAAACACTTCTAAATAGCAAATTTTATTTTGAGATTAATCTAATTATAATTTAATTTTAGAATAATCTTCATTTAATTAATCAATTATTCCTAAATATCTTTGTTGTAATTATTTTTTATCTTTAATAGATTGTTATTATAACACTTGTAATTGGTTATCTTACATTTAAATAATACTTTTATTCTAAAGTAATTTATCTTATATAATTTCTATTTATTGAGAGAATTCCTTAGAATGTTTATTCACTTTCAATAAACTTTTAAGTTATTCATTAAGTTTTTGAACTTCATCATTTAATCTTAAGTTTTGTAGACTAATTTCTTAGATTTCATAAGATTTTTATTTCAATTATAAATTCAAATTTTAAATGTCTTTTTATATTACAAAGTCTAAAGTCTGGGTCATTATTATATTTTATAGATGTTGAAATAGAATGTTCTTTGTTTTTTATTTAATTCTATAGTGAAGAGATTTCATTAGAGTGAATGTTTTTAACAATTGAGTGATGGCAAATATGTTTTGATTTGTGGATCATAGAAATTTTCAAATCAATAGTTGACTCAAAAATTTTTTTAATCATAAGAAAAATTTATTAGTGTATTCAAATCAAACCTTCTAATACTTTATTTGTTTTATAGTTGTGTTTTAAAATTATTAGATAAGCTGACTAAATAGAAAGTTTCTTTTGCTAGCTTTTCCTTTTCAGATAAAAGTTAATTTTATTCTAAAATAGAATTTCTAAGTTTGCTTTCAATTTATATTTTAATATTAGAAATGGATTGAATTTCTTCTTTCAAATATTTATTTTATTATTCTAAAGAGATTAATTTATTTTGCAATTCAATGATCCATTATTCATCTTAATCTTTTTGAGTTGACTAAGCTGAATGAGAATTCCTATGATATTATAAATCAGAATTTTTTGTTGTTCTAATAAAGACTATGATGAAGTAATTTATTCTTGAAGTTTTGTATTTTATTCTGTTAACTGATTGATTAATATTTTTTGATTTTGCTTTTATATATCCTGATTTAGACTTATAACACTTAAAGGATATTACTCTAATTAATCTTTTAATTCTTGGTTGATATTATACTAGATTATGTACTGTTCTGATTTAGAAATAATCTCATTTATATCTTGTCCATTTAGAAGTTCTTGGATTCTATCATATTTGAGAGATCTTCGTTTAAGTTCCTCTATTAATTCAGTCAATTCTTCCAAAGTTAACTCATCACCTGTAATTTATGAAATATCAATAAATAATCATGTTGTGATTTCAATTGATTATAATCTTAATCAAGTTGAGTTTTTATTCTGCTAATTTCATCAAACTCTGAAGTTGAATCAGTTAAGCAGAGTAAGTGGGAAGGATAAATACACAAAGAACCAGTCCAAGAGACCGCAAATAAATCATTAATTATGGAATTGAATTAAAAAGACAAAAAGCTTTAAGAGATATAAAACATAGTTAATAGAATTAAAGCATACAGAGAAGAAGGCAAATTAAACTTGACGTATATATAATATTTAAGTTCTTTAGCATCGATATAGAAAAATCATTCGTAACTTATTTAATTGAAGAGGATTTACCAACTATTTATTTTGTTGAGTATAAATGGGCTGTAAATCATAAAACATTCTTTAGGAAGTGCCAAAAAAAATTAATAATACTAAATTAGTGACTGAAGAGAATGCTCAAAAGGAACTAATCATAATCAAATCTGAAAAAGATTCAAAATTAAAATCGAATTGGATTAATCTGTGATATTTCCAGATATTATAAATGATGGTTAAACTAACTTTATTTCGCATACAACAAATACATCCAAAATTTCAATAGAACCCCTAATTGATATAGCAAAATTAGAGTTCAATAATATGGATGATTCCGAAAAATCTCCTAATACAAATACCACTCGAAGAACAAATCAATAGAAAACTAATTCAATAAAAATTCAACCAAAATTTTACGAACTCCCTTATGTTGGTCTACAAAACCCAAAATATTATTGTTATATGAATTCAGCTTTACAATGTCTATTGAGTATTAGAGAATTAAATGATTCATTATTAAAATAGCCAAAGTAATAAAATAAGAAATTTACAATGGCATATCAAGGTTTATTAAGACTTGTACAGAATTCCATACCTGGTTCAGCTATTTCTGTTGAAAAGCTTTAAAATAAGTGCTTATATAAATTTAAATACTAATAATAACAAGATGCTCACGAATTTTTATTGTATCTCTTATCTGAAATTTAATAAGAATTAGTAGGAAAGAATGAATATAAGAAAGAAGAATTTTTAAATGCATGAGAAGCTTGGGATGTATATAAAGCTAGAAACCCTGATATAATAACAAATTTGTTTGCTGGTTAGATAGCAAGTAAATCACATTGCTTAAAATGTAAGGAAATAAGTGAGGGTTTTGATCCGATTTTAGATTTGAATTTACCTCTATCAAAATATTATATACCCAGAGAATTTAAATTATAAGATTGTCTATAGAACTATTTTAAAGAGGAGGAGATAAATAATGCTTGGAAATATGATAAATGCTAATTTATTAAAAAATCTGTTTTGAGGAAGATTTAAATCACTTAAACACCAAAATATCTTATTCTACATCTTAAACGATTTGCTTAATTCCCTAAGAGCCAAAAAATTACTGATGAAGTAACTTACCCAGAAATTCTCGATATCAAAGGGTATTATTTTATGAATTAATCTTTAGGTTTTGTGCAGAAAATGTTGAATATACAAAATATGCTTTAAAGGGTGTAATATCCCATATGGGATAATTAAATGGAGGATATTATGTAGCATATGCTTAAAGATAAAATATTTGGTATTTCGATGATAATATTGTAACTAAAGATAAAATTGGTCAACATCTCTAAGACAAGAGTGCTTACATAATTTTTTATGAATAACTATGGAAAGATGTGAATTTTACTTTTCCCCTCTAAAATTTATACTTAGAACAACAATTAAAATAAATATTATATCAAAAATTTATTAATTTTATCAAAAAAATATAATTTTATTAAATTCTATGTTGTAGTTGATTATTTGGATTCTAAAAATTCCGTTTTTTTAATATTAATTCAAAAGAATTTATAAATTATATATTAAGTTATTTTTTAATCCAGATGTTGATTAATGAGAAATTATAAATTATTCTTAACTTATCTTCCTCTCAATTCATAATGAAATACTAGGCTGATCTAATATTTGATAACTTATAATAACGCTAAGATTTATTTTTCTTATTATTTTAAATATAAGCCTTGATAATTTCTCTTTTCCATTCTTGAAAAATTTTATCAATATAAAGTTCTTAAATAAATTTGAATAATATTAATTATAAAATTTAATCCTTTTTATTATCTAAACAATTGACTATCTTTAACAAAATTAAAATTCTATAAACTAATATAAATGATGAATTTGAATCAACAATTCTTAAAAATCATGAATAGTCTTTGAGTAAGATAATTCCTATTTAACTTAATTAATATTATATAATGATTCGTTTTATGAAGATTTATTTTGATTAAAAAAATATAAAAATGGACAAATGAGTTTTATTTTCTTGAATTCTAAATAAATTCTTGTATAAATAATCAATCGATATTTAAAAAGTATATAGATATATAAAGACTGATAATCCAAGTTTTGTTAACAATATATATTTATTCAAAAAAAATAATGAATTCTTTAGATTTTGATAACATGGTTTCACATCACTTTGATATTTTTTCTTTGCCCAATACCTACTGAATTTGATTGATTAAATTTTGGTGTTGTAGTAGGTGATTCATTATTGGAAACAATAAATTTTTTGTATTACTTAAATAAAATTAGTAATATTATTATTATTATTAGAATTCTGACATTAATTCAAATTCACAAATTTTTGCATTAGATCTTTATTCTCAAGATCAAAATATAAATTTACATTTTTATAATTCAAAATAATCTAAATTTACTCTAAATACTTTTTTACTTCTTTTAAACTTTGAATGTATAATTTTATAAATTATATACACTTAATTAGAAATTTATGTAATATATCTAAGTACATTTACTGCTTCTTCTTTTTATTAATTCTATTGTCCTTAAGGAAATAGATCATCATTATTAGTTATACTTATAGTTTAGATGAATCAAATTAAAAGGATTATGATTATTTATATGAACATAAATCAATAAAAAGTAAAGCATTCAAGTATTCCTTGAAAGGAAGGATTCATGATTTTTTAGAGGACTTTTCTATAATTACTATAATATTATAATAATATTTATATTTTTACTAAAACTGGCTCTTCTTTAAAGTATAGAAATTTTTATTGATTCTAAATAATTTAAGTTCAGCCTTTAAATCTTCATTTTTTATTTAGTAGCAGAACAGCCCATAAGAAGTAAAATCTTTTTAAATTAAAATAAATATATTTGAAAAACTTAGTACTTATAAACCATGCCTAATTAATTATATAAAATGTAAGATTTCAATTAATAAATATTGATGACTCTCAAAAAGAAATTGTTGTATTTCATTTAATATTGATTTTTTTATAAGGAATATAAATTAGAAATTATTTACTTTAATCATAATTCTTCAAAATGATATGTATGATAATGATAATACAAAAAGGAATTAGAAATAGCCAGCCTAAATTAAAAATTTTCATTAAACATTTCCAAGTATCTAAATCAATAATAGAATTTTTCTTTAAAGAATGTTTTATCAACTGAGAAAATTCAATCTTTAAATATTTGTCTACTGTGATACTTTTGAGAGAAATTTGAGGGCAATTTCTGAAGAATACTTAAATTGTCTATTTTAGAATTTTTGATTTCTTATCTTTTTTGTTAATTCATTGATATCGGATTTCTTTTACTAATTAAGAATCATTAATAAGAACAAGAAGATAGGTAAATTTAAATTCATAATTTTGGACTATTCTGTATTTTCTATTTATTTAAAGGAATTTTTGATATTTATCAAAATGGCTAAGATGTGTTCATTGATGATTTTTTAAGTTAATCTGTAATAATCATATGCATAAATCTTCAGCCAATTTGTAGATGATGATTCACAAATTATCCATTTCTTTAATATTATTTTTTTTTATTTAATTATCAATTAATTCAAAATTTTGTATCACATATTTTGATTTCAAAAATAAACTTATGAAAATTGGATATAATTATTAGATATTCTTAATTGTTTTAATAAAATGAATTTAGTTAGATCTTAATAAAATTCAAAAAGCATTTTTAATTTAAGTTTTTAAGATTAGATTCAATAAATTATAAAAATAAATATCAATAATAATTAATTTAATTATAATCATTTTTATTTTTTACTTTTATTTCAATTTTTTTATTTTAATAATTTAATCATATTTTATAGATGATAGTCATTAAAGTACTTTGATATATTTATTTCTCTAATAAATCTAAATTTATTAGACCTTAAAATTTTTTATATATTTTACTTGTAAATGGCTACTTCATAATTATTGTGAGGTAAGTAATAGTCAAATGAATACATAGTGTCAAAATTATTTAATCCAAAAGAGTTATTAGCATAGAGAGGCAACTTATTAAAATATAAATGAATATATCTACATAACTGAATGGTTAGAAACAAGAAGGGAGAATAGAAATTTTAGTTCCAGTTTTAGTAGAGATTTTTCTAATTGAATGTCTCTATTATTATTATTAACTACTATCTTCAAAATTAGTAATATCAACTTAACGTGTTTGCTATATTAATTTTTATGGAAAAGAAAATGTAGATTTTCTGTTTTATTTAGAGGATGGAATTCCTGATTTTATTTATTTATTAGATGGAATAGGACTATAAGTTAATGATCTGGAAGAATTCAAACGTTAACTAATTACTTCTGGATATTTATATGTATTATCAATTGAAATTGAATTTAATTATTATGATTAGAATGATAAATTTTTAGATAAAGATATATTTTATTTTTTATTTATAAAACTATTCCTTGAACTTTATTATCTTATAGAGCTAAATCCTAGACGAGATAAACGAGGATGACTTGAATTTTACTTTTGAAGTTCATTCATTTAAGTTTCAAAATTGTAATTGAATGTTAATTTTGGATCATTATTCTTTCTTTCAAATTTATCTTGAGGTGAATCATCAACATTCTCATCTTCTGCTGATTTAGATTCTGATATACTATCAGAGTCTTCATTCTCTACAATAATATTTAAAGATTTTGATGTTTAATCTTTATTAGAAGCATATGAACCAAATCCGGAAGTTGCAAAGGTTCTTTTTTATTGATCATTTCTTACTAAAGATCATATTTTTTATCTTAATTATTATTAATGAATTGAAATTCGTTTTCTTAATCGAAATTAGAGCTTAGGTTTATGATTTTTATTAATACAATAAATTATCGGTATGATTTGGTATGGATTATTATTCATAACCAGACTATTACTTCATAAAGGAAGTGGACTTAACAAATGATTTGTTTCTACTTAATTTTGTTACACTTCTAGCACTGACATTTGAATCACCTATTGCTAAATCATCATATGGTATTTGAGATTAACTAAATTATGATATCTATAATTAATCTTAAAATAAATTTAAAAATGCCACTTCATATTATGATGCACATTAATAAAATTATAATGCTCTCATATCTTTAGACAATCTACATTTATCTATATGATATATATTTATAATTACATTATTTTCTAATCTATTAATGTGGAAAAATAAATTTTTTTAACTTAAAACTTTAATTTGGTTTATAGGTCAATAATGGACATCCTGTTAAAATATGATCATCTCTTAAACAACAAACTCATTTTATTGGTAAACCTATATTAAATAATATTTTATCTCTTTATTCTTAAAATAATTACTATATAATAGTTTAAATATTTATTACTTTATCATTAAAGTTTAAACTCTTTAAAAATGTTGTTCTTTCTAATTTTAATAATCTAGTTACTCCATCACTTTTAATAGTGAAATTTCTTGGTTTTTATGTATAAAATCCTATTTCTCCAAATAAATCATATTATTTGAATATTGTAATTTTAAATTATTCCTAGATTTTAGACAAACAGAACCTTCTAAAATAAAATATAATGAACAATAATCTAAAATACCCTCTTAAATAATAGTTTAATTGGGTTAGCATACAATTTCTTAACTATTATCGATAATTGATTAAATAGTATTTTTATTAAAATATTTAAAATATTAATTTATTAATTTAAATCTTTAACTAATTTTATATTCTTAAATTAAATTACTAGACAACTAAAAAATAAATTTATCATGAAGATGTTTTCGTTATTAAAATAAATGACTTATTAATTTTCTTTTAAAGTTGAATCTAAATTATTTTAAGTCATAAATTAACTTAATTATTAATCTAATTCATCATCTTTTAAAAGTATCAGTATTTTTGCCAATAAATATGAAAAGGAAATTAAAGACAATAATGACATTGCACTATATACTATAATATGTTATGGATCATTCACATCAATTAACACTGAATTAAAAGTCAAAATTGACATTACATAATATAAAGAATGTAAATACTATTCTTATAAGGAATCTCATTTTCTATTAATAAATTAAATAACCAATAACATGTTAGAGTATGAATTAATAAAATTATTTTTATTATTAAAATAGTAAAAAGTGAGAATCAATTAAAAATATTATATTCACTATTATTAATAATATAAATATTTTACAATTAGACTTATTTTTGAATCTATATAAGACTTGGAATAGTACTTAATATATTTTTAATTATATTCCAATAATTCTATTGAAATTGTATGGAACCAATAAAAATCTATTTTTTTATATATATAATTTTGTACTATATCAAATATCCATTATGATTTACAATAATGGCATATAATAACTATTAATTAAGTTTCAATTTCTCCATTTATTGCAAAAGTGGAGATAGATTTCAAAATGGCATCTATTATTTTAAGTATAAGAAATAACACAAAGAATGATTTCATTTATAGAGGATGATGATCATTTGTATAATCATTATCAATAGATAAAAGATACTCCAATATTTAAATAATTTTGAGGTCGGCTCTAAGACAACTAAAACTTTGGACAATTAATACTTTATTTCGTTTTGTCTGATTATGCCAAATCAAAAAAAGATAAGAATATTTCTTTACTTTATCGTTTAATTTTAATTTGTTTTTTAAAAGTTCTACATATTTGTCTTTGAGTTTAATTTTGTTTGAAAAACCTTTAGTGGTCTCTAAACTTTTTTAATTGAATACCAATAATTAAAAACTGTTTGAATCTTAGATAAAGAAAATCCTTTCATTAGATATCTGGGAAATGTAAATAATAAGGAAACCTCATGATTAACATTAAAGGGTGATAAACACTATTTAGATCTATCTAATGTCTTTACAGTTGGGTCTTTAACAGAATAATCATCATTAGGTTATCCTGGATGATCTACTGTATATGGAGTATATTAAAATTGACTTATTTATGACTGTTAAAAGTATCATAATTATTTTATATTTGATCTTTAAATGTAGAGTTTACTTATTAATTTACAGTAGAAATTTGTTGATTTTGTTTAAGTATGTAAATTCTTTCCTAAATTTGGTCACTTAATGTTGAGTGGTAGTTTAGATCATAAAATTAAAATGTGGGATATTATTGGTAATAAATAATTTATTAGAACATTTTTATCTGCTGCTTATGATAAAAAAAAACTTGTATGGGATACAGAATATGGTAAAGTTACTTAATGTATTAATTTAAAACATTTTCCTTATTGCTACTGCTGTTAATCCATCTGGACTTAATTGGGTTGGACAATAAAGTAATAATTTAGTAATTTATTTATATTTATAAATAAGATTATTGTTTATGATAAGAAAGCTGAAAATTTTAGAATGAATAGAAAGAAGAATTTTAAAGGTCATGTGTCTGCAGGATATGCATGTGGAGTTACATTTTTAGCTGATGGTTAAATTTTAGCATCGGGTGATTCTGAAGGTAGAGTATTCTTTTGGGATTGAAAACAGCTAAGAGTTATAGAACTATCTAAGTAATGATATAGCATTTAAGTTTTAGGCTCATGATAATGTATGTATAGGTGTTGAATGGCATCCAATAGAACCTAGTAAAGTAGTTACATGTGGATGGGATGGAATACTTAAATTATGGGATTGATCAGTTTTTAAATTAATGTAGAACAATCATTTTCAGATTCTCATAATCCATAATGAACAATTTATGCATAAAATGATATGATATAATAAGA